ATATATATACTGTGTATATATATATATATATATATATATATATATATCGGCTGCTTGATTGATTATATTGTTGCAAAATATATTATCATTCTGCTCTAATCTGCTAAATGTGACTGTAAGGCATTAACATATTAAGATATGAATGTGATTGTCTGTGAAGCTGCTTTGAAACAATGTGTATTGTGAAAATGGCTGTGTAAATACATTTGACTTGACATATAGTAAGTCAAAACCTGAGAACTGATTCTCTTACTTTGACCACATTCTCTCTACAATCCTTCGACGTTTCCTCCTTATGGACATCAGGGTCCTGTGCGGTCTTCCCATCCACATTCTCCTGGCTTTGTATTTTCTCCAGCAGGGAGGCTCTGTCTGCGAGGAGGTACGCCACCTGTTCACTCAGGCTGATGGGAATAATATCAGCCAGACCTTCCTGAAGTAACATCTCCGAGATCTCACTCCTCTGTGCCTCTGTATGCATCAATTCAAATATCATGAGTGGCGAAGAGCTAGTCTGATAGAGGACAGAACAGACAGAAACGCACCTTGTTGTCGGTGGATGTCATCCAGAGAAGCATGGAGCGTTTTGTTTTCTTGCTCGAGATGTAAAGCCACAGAGTCTCGGGTCTTTGTGAGACTCTTAATTTGATTAACATATTGCTGAACCTGACAACATACAGACAACGTAAAATAACAAGACTGCGAGTTCCCTTTTTTTCTAAAAAATAAAACATCTATTGTGTTCCACAGTCAAAAAGGCACTCATATGGATCTGAAACAAAATGCAGGGGACCAAACGATGAGTCTCCAGGGTTTTTTTTCTTTGGCCGTACTCACCTTTTCAATCTCAGCAACACGTTCCTTCTGCAGATCTTGTATCTGCTGGTTGAGGGATCTCACGGTACTTTCACTGCTCCTGTAAAGCTGCCACAGCAGAGACAGACGCTCATTGCTGGAGGCCGAGGAGTCCAGCCCTTCCTCCTGCAGCCGCTGATCCATGTCCTGCAACATCTGTCCATCCCAAACAGATAAGGAGATCAACATACAGATGTATATAGATCTATCTATCTCTCTATCTAGTTAGCTAGATATCTATCTATCTTAAGGTTTGGTGTCTTTTAGATGTTGTTTACACTAAACACGTGATCTGCTCATGTTGTTTAAACATCTTTTGACAGCTGTTGTTGCAGATCGGTGGCGCACATGCGCACATCCCTTTTTTCCCTTGAAACGACTTAGCGGTTTTCCAGCATGAAAACATTCCAACTTTCTGTTACTTTTGCTTTTCAGCAAAATGAATAAAGCGAATAACGCAGAGAATAGTACGAGGTATATGCCTATAACTTGAGATGGATGTTTACCACTCGGATCGTGATGTGTTTATTACCTATAAAGAACAGTAAATTAAACGATTTGCCACGTAAAGTTCTTTAACAAACACTCTTACCTGTGCTGTGCACATCTCTTCACGTTATTCAGAACCATTTAATTACTTATTGTTGTTAGTTATTGCTTTGAAAGTGAAAATTCCGCGAAACGCACACACGTTGCCGATTATCCAAACTTTGCTGCGGCGACTTCAATCGAACCGTTTTTCTTTCATGTCACTGTCGCGTTCTAACGGAACTCCTTAACTTTCACCGTCGCCTAGAAACGGATGTTATAATGTATCACCTTCAGTATTTTTCAGCATTTGCTTGAAATTCACGTTCATCAGCGTACAAGGCTGTGTGTGTGTGTGTGTGTGTGTGTGGGGGACGTCCTGCAAAAGAACCCCACAAACCCCGTAATAGGAAACGCGGTTCCATAACAAGTAGCCTGTTAAGGTTCATTACACGAAACGGGCGCCTTTTGCACTTTGAAAAAGTGATTTTAAGTACATTTCTTAAAGGTTTTAAACATTCCATCAAACTTGATAAAGCATTATTTAATATTCACGAGGGACACCCTTTTCATGCAATGACCCAGATAAGAGCACATACATGTAAAATACTGAATTAAACTAGCTTCTTTCGATCCCCTTCCTCATACATCAAATTCACACATTGAAACTAAGCATTCGAATGAACAGAACTAGATAAAAAGTTTATTTTGGTAAGCGGAAAGATTCATTTTTGGAACGGAAGATTAAATCACTTCACTGGGGATTTATGGGTGTAAACTGATGTTTCTCTGGGTGGTCTGTGTTTCCTCCCACCGGAAATGATTGTCCAGATTGCGCCATGTAGGAGTTTTCTAATTGCCTAAACTACAGCACCTGACTAACCATGAGCAGATATGAATATAATCATAAAACTGAAAAAATCCTTGAAGAGAGAATAACAGTTAAATAACAGTAAACATAGCATCTTATCTTATGTTTAGGCTTATATATATATACATATATATATATATAATTAATTATAATTTAATTATATATAATTTATTTAAAATATACATTTTAAAAATATATAATTAATATACATTTTATTTATTGCTGAATCTACCATATCAGAACATCAATGCATGGACTGTTGTGTAATTATGTAACAGACTCTCTCTGGGTTTGGGCGGACACAAACTCAAGCCCATTTTTAGTTTGTAGAAACTAACCCAGAGTTTTTCTGGAGCTGTGAAGGAAACTCCTCCTCTAACCGAGCCTGCATTCTTTCCTGGACCGTTTTCCCCCAAACGTGGGAGTCTGTGGAGAGAGTGAATGTGTGTGGAGAAGAGACCAGCTGAAGACAAGGAGAGCAACACAGAACTTCAGACCAAAGTTTTCAGAAGATCTGTTGGTACGAGTACACAAGGTAAGCAGCATTTTGACTTCTTCAACAACAAAGTATTTCCACTCCTAATAATATAAATAATCATTTTAGACAAGTTTACAGTTTTACAGCCATAGAAGAATCTTTAAAGTGCCTAAAAGTTCTTCAGAAAGCTATGGATGTACTGGTGCATGAAGAACCCAGACGGTCTTCATTTTTACTTTATTAATGTATGAGAGTGAGACTATAACGATATGCTACAGAACCTACAGAGTCACATCAAGAATAAAAAAACAACAACTAAAAAATGTCCATATGCAAAAAGTGCTGAACCTAAGAACCACTGAAGAACCTTTATTATTATTAAGAGTCAAACTATTTATGTTCTCCGAGATATTTGTCTGTTTGTTTAGTCATATATACATAATGAAAATCCTTAGAAACCGTAGATAGAAGTAGAAATAAGATGCAACCAAACAGACTATAAGATTATGTAATCATTCTCACAAAACTGTCCAAAATTTCTTAATTAACCTCATGTGATCATTAACCTCATGTCCGTTCTGCTGTCCTGTCTGAGACATTGCTGTAAGACCTATGTACTTTTATGAGCAGTGAGTACAGCTCAACTGTGTTTACAGAGTAAAGAGCATCTTGGTAAAGTCTTGAATGGCACACAGAGCGACTAAGGCGAAATAAGTGTCTGAATGTGTGCCAGGAAACACATAACGAGCAGCTCCTGCATGTAAACATGGAGAGGTGGGGGCCGATTTAATGAAAACCAGAGTTGGGGAATGTTGACTAAATACGTAATCTTACGGCCACCACAAAGGGCCTCTTGGTCTTTGGTTTGGAAAGAGATTCTCGCATGCCCTGTGAGTTATTTTCACTGCACTGTCGTGACCGAGAGGGTGTGGAATCTCGGGATCTGCTTGTGTCATTCCCAATCTTCCTTCCCGATCCAGATCCATCACACAGTCCTTATTTATGAATGGATGTTTTGTTGATTTCAACCAGAAGTCTCCATTCATCTTATGGACAGAAAAGTAATGGAAGGTTTGTGGTATAGCCATGTTTTGCGTCTTGGAAATGTGATGATGGAAAATCATCTAGCAGTGAGGTAAAAACTCATTTATAGGTATGATGCCAGTGAACAGCGCTTGAATCAAAGTTCACACGTAAGTCCAACATATTTTCCTGGAAAAGATGCTGTCAGCAAAAGGCATCATTTTGATGAAGTAAACATGAATATTTCTGGAGAGCCTCTGTACATTTGGAATCATATACAGTAGCGTTCAAAAGTTTTGGGGTCAGTAAGATTTTTTTAAAGGAATTAACAGTTTTATTCAGCAAGGATGCATTAAATTGATCAAAGGTGACAGTAAAGACACTTATAATGTTACAGAAGATTTTCATTTCAAATTAATGCTGTTTTTTCTATTCAGAGAATCCTGAAAAACAAAACATATCGCAGTTTATGGAACAGGAATATGAAGCAGCACAACTGTTTTCAACACTGATAATAATAATAAATGTTTCTTGAGCAGTAAATCAACATATTAGAATGATTTCTGAAGGATCATTTGACACTGAAGACTGGAGTAATGATGCTGAAAATTCAGATTTGCATTACAGGAATAAATGACATTTTAACATATATTCACATAGAAAACAGTTATTTGAAATGGATTTACGGTTTTTACTGTATGTTTCGATCAAATAAATGCAGCCTTGGTGAGCATTAAAGACTTAACATAACATAAAAAAAATAAAATGACCAGTCTCAAACTTTTGAACGGTATTGTGTGAATAGGATGTATATTCACATGAGATAGAAACAGGAGATCTGTGTCATTGTGTTCGTTTAGTTTCATTCAAATCTGGAGATCAGACACAAACTGCTGCTGTTTACACAGAGATCCTTAACGCCGGACACATCAGAGGCTTTTCAGACACACTGATTAAATCCCAAATGATTCCTTCGTTTTTCTTTGTGAGATGAAAGTTCTCAACCAGAACCTTTTATTCTGCATGCAGGATCCACCAAAATGGCGTTCCTCTTGATGTTTGTGACTGTTCTGCATTTGGTCACCCTGGCCATGCTTTTCATTGCCACCATTGAGAAGGTTAGTCGTAATTCACTTGCACAATCACTGCTGTAAAATGTATCTTGCCTATAGCTATTACAATAAAGAAACATCTGCCCCATGAGCAAATGCATGGAGTTCAGAGGTCATGCATGTTTGTCTAACAAAATATGTTCAAAATTGTAGGCTAAATTCTAAATATTTACTACAGTAAATATGTTTTAATGTATACTGTAGTGTAAATAATTGGAGATCAGGTGAAACAGAATTTTTACAAACTGAAATTTGAGAGTTCACATTTTAAAAAGCATCTTCATTACATACTTCTAAGTTAGCATATTTGTTTGTAATTTATTTTTTCATTTATATATTTTTCATGTTTTATTATACACTTTTCTTTAATTATACACTTTTATTATTGTGTTTTATTGTTGTTTTTGTACTGACCTGTGAAGCTTCTTATGTTTTTTAATTTTTTATGTCTTCTTATTCAGTTTTATTTTTATATGATTCAACTTATTATTATTATTACAACTTATTATTAATACTTTTTTTTCTAGTCCTGGTGGTCTTGGGGAGGCATAGAGAACACAGATCTCTGGTATAAGTGCATCTATGAAAACACCACAGAAACCTGGTTATGTGCTTCTGTCAGCGAGAGCGGTGGGTAACTTACACTCATAAACAGATTTTAAATAATCTATGGATTATTATAATCACTGGATTTAATTATGACAATCCATGAGAACTGGTGGGTGTTCATAAAACTGCTCATTTTTTGCTGATTTGCAAAAAAGGCCTAATATTACCTAATTTGATGATGCTGATTTAAAAAATATCAATACATTTTTTTTTTTTTTCAAATTATTTATATGTATCAGCTTTAATGCATTTGCCAGATTAACAAAAAGAAGAATTCAAAATTTAATCACAAAAAGAAGAATTCAAAATTACAATCTGCAAAGAAGTGGAAAAAGCTGAAATCAGGATTAGGCATAAAATAAATTCTTCAGAATCATTCATACATGTGAAAATCTTATTAGAATTGAACAAATAGTTGTAATCTGGCTCGGATGAAGACAGGAATCATGTCTTTATGGCAGTTTTTCTGCTGATTAAGTGACAATACAAGACGACTTCACCTTACAAATGGTTGTAAATGCAAAAATGCTATGAAATGCATCATATTTTGTGAGAAAGTGTAACGTGTTTAGCAAAACAGGCACTATTTTTTGGAATCTGCACCCGAAATTAGTACAAAACAAGGATTGGATTTCTTTCAGGCAAATATGATGCAGACTATAACCATTTGTTGAAAGTAAGTAACTCTTTGTATTTGTGTGTGATTTTCTCTCTCAGAATGGCTGCAGTCGGTCCAGGCCCTCATGATCTTGTCTGTGGTGCTCTCTTCCATCTCCTTCATGGTGTTCCTCGGACAGCTCTTCACCATGTCCAAAGGAGGACTTTTCTACTTCACTGGCCTGTGTCAACTATTTGCAGGTATATAAACTATAATCTTGTATTTATTTATTTATTTGGGTATGTAGGTAGGCAGAAAGTTCATAGCATAATCTCACTCCCTATCCAACACCATATGTGCTGCCCCCTTGTGGTCACTTTTTATTCTCATCCCATTCGCTCCGTTCACACTCACAGGTTTCGCAGCGTTTGTGGCTGTTCTTATCTACACCTTTCAAAGGAGGGAGATTCTTCAAGATGCTCGTGCACTGGAAATTGGTCGTTTCGGCTACTGTTACATTCTAGCGTGGGTGTGCGTGCCCCTTTTACTCGTCAGTGGAGCACTTTATGTGCATCTGCGCAAACGGGCCTGATTTTCTGCTTGACACCACACATGTACTTTAGTAGTTTAGTCTGCTGTGAGATTATACCATATATGCTTATGGCTGTTTTTAGGCAAGCCAGTTTATGATATGGCTTATTGTTATTTATTATTATCATAACAGTTTTGTAGGAACCAACTCCCAACACCTGCTTTGCTGCTTTAGTGGAGTTGCAACAAAACTTGCTGTATTTTCCCATAGTGGGGAAACTGCTGTTCTAAGTTTGATGCTGACAATCAAGTGGGATTTTGATGCAAAATGCTTGTTAAAAGAAAAAAGAAAATTTGCTGAAAATTTACTCACCCACAGGATATCCAAGGCATACCTGAGTTCATCTGAACAGATTTGGAGAAATGTAGCATTGCATCACTTGCTGACCAATGGATCCTCTGCAGTGAATGGGTGCCGTCAGAATGAGAGTCCAAACAGCTGATAAAAACATCACAATAATCCACAAGTGATCCACACCACTCCAGTCCATCAGTTAATGTCTTGTGAAGCAAAAAGTTGTGAAACAAATCCATCAAGACGTTTTTAACTTTAAACTGTTGCTTATGGCTAAAATACGAGTCCTCTATCCATAAAGTTGCACAGATCAAGCATCGTTTACAAGCCAAAACAGCTCTAAACAAATATTTGGGCTGATTTTGACATGAGAGGACAACAGGGGATGGACTATTTCACTGGAAGGAGTGTTATTATGGATTATGGATGGATATTTTGTCCAGAAGTAATGTTTTTGAATGTAAAAACCATGCAAACGTCATAAGTGGACCTCAGACAACAGTATAGGTACAGTATTCAAAATAGTTTAAAATTAAAATGCCCTAAATATGGTTACAAGATGTTACCTGATGGACTGGAGTGGTGTGGATTACTTGTGGATTATTGTGATGTTTTTATCAGCTGTTTGGACTCTCATTCTGACGGCACCCATTCACTGCAGAGGATCCACTGCTGAGCAAGTGATGCAGTGCTACATTTCTCCAAATCTGTTCACATGAAGAAAACAAATTTTCAGCTAATTTTCATTTTTGGGTGAACTGTTACTTTATGCTTTAAAAAAAAAAAAAACTGGAGTGTAAAAAAACTCCCAAAACTGGAAACTTTAAACCCGTCCTTTTTCCTCAATATTGAATATGTGCACGTGTCTTTGTATTATTATGATTTTATGTATGCAAACTCTATAAATAAAATATTTTAATGATGACAACAGTAGTTATGATGTTTTAGGTTAGAGTAAACTTCTCTAAGAAAAATATTTCAGTGCAACTATGAATAAACAGAAAAGAACAATCGTACCACAAAAATGCTGCAGCTCAAATAGGATCAACAAGTGTCCACTAGGAACTGGTCTGGTATCGAGTGAGTCATGGTGCTCTTTAAGTGGTTTACATAGTAATGAGATTAAATCAGTAAAAACAGTTGTTACTTACTAACAATCTGAACAGCTAATTTAAATACTTTAAATATTCAATTCAAACTGCTCTAATAAATTTGTATCATCGACGGTTTGGTTGACTTATTAGCATGACAACATCCCATTGTACCATGCATTCTCTGCTTTTAAAAGCACTGTTGATTCTGTCCAGGTACAAAATAAACATCAGCATGACAGATAGACAGGGTGATTAAAGAGGAATGTGTGCATTAATGAGTTGCATGGAATTCCAGTTACTTGTACATGCAGAACCCAAAGGTGAGCTCAGCATACTTTCTTCAGTGGATTAAAACACTCATACACACAGGTAGCTCCTCTGCACGTGTCTAAGGACAATCTCATGTCCACGCAGATCGAGGTGTTTGACATGAAAAGAGACCACTAGGCAGGTGTTGAGTTCCAGCCTTGCCCCCTTTTGACTATAGCTGGGAGGGAAGGATGGTCTCAATCTCTGCTTCCCGGAGAAGACTGGCTCGGCTGGTCGAACCAGTCACGATAGCGAGGCCGTGACAGAGACGTGTTTACTAAAGACACAATAAGGTCAGAGATCTAATATCAGCCTTATAATGCGAGAGGAAGTGGGCCGAGGGAGACCAGAACACGTTTTAGGGATGGTTTGCTGATGTTTTTCTGACTCAAGAAGCGGATTTGGGCGAAAGCTAAAAATGGGCAGATTGCAGTGATGACTAGTTGCTCACATTGGCTGGTGACGGGGAGTAATTTAACACCAGACAGAGAGAGGCCATTTAGAATGGGAGGAGATAGCAGCGATATGTCAGAACTTGACGGAAAGAGTCAATGGACTGAGGGTGTGTGAGTGAGACAGACGGCCACAGACGGGTAAGTCAAAACTTTTAGTACATAATCTCTTCTTGTGAATTATTACCATAAAACAGATAGATTAAAATAGATTTTGACATCAAATAAGTAAAAAGAAGAACACTTAAGCACACTTTTAAAAAAAGCAATTGTCACTTAAGTGCGAAGTGAGTGTAAAGTTCTCGGACACTTAATTGCATGTTATTTGCATTTAAATGAAGATGTATAATATTTTAAATGTTTTTATATAAATTTAAACTATTATACATCTTCATTTAATTGCAGATAATTAATAAATGCAGTCAAGCGTCCGAAAACATTACACTCAGTTCACACTTAAGTAATTCACACTGAAGTATATTCTTGAAAAGTTAAAGACAACAGAAGTAATCATGAAATTACATATAAAGAAGTCTTAAGTGGGTCAAAAGCACTTTAACGTTCAGCCAGTTGCATTAATTGGCTGAACTTTAGAATGCTTTTGACCCACTTAATGCATATTTAAATGATTACTTGTTGTCTTTTGAAATATGGTTAACGTGTACTGCAGAATGTACTGACAATAATTTGTGGTAAACTGAAATATACTTAAATATAATTTCTATTAAAGCTTGTATGTCATGCATTTAATTACACATTTGTAATGATGATGTTGCACAATATATTAACTTTAAAAGTAATATTGAATAACACACCAAACTTCCTGAAATCTCTTCAAGCACACTTAAATGGCCTTTTATTTTATTAATATTATATTGCCCGCAAGTACAGTTGAGTTTTGAGGTACACTACAAGTGCACATTCAATACAATTAAGCACACCTCTTTTTTCACAAGTGTGTTGACCAAATCAAATGAAAAACTCTAATTGTTGTTGTTTCCCCTCAAGTCTGTATTCCAGGACATTTCAAAGTTCTCCAAATCTTCAAGGGACTAGGGAAATGTTTCTACCATGGAGTATTCTCCTTTTTTGTTGATTCTTGGTGTTTAAAAAGAGTTCAATATCTTCAACACATGAAGAAGAACCTCAACTATTGAATAATTCACCAACCTCCAGATGCCGGTTATTGTTTACATATCAACATGTAATTTTCCTCGGTCATTTTCCTTGTAGAAGAAGGATATCTCCAACCATCGTCGGACTCCAATCATGTCAAACTCTCACGAGCAGAGCCTCAACGAGAACATCGTCTTCGCTCCATTGACAGAGTCCAGTCCGGGCTTCTTGCACTGCGAGGAAGAGCGCTATTGTGTGGAAAGCCTGGTGAGCTCCGGTGCTGAGGCTTTCTTCTCCAAACTCCACGAAGAACAAATCAGATCGTTCCTGTCCCCCGGTGAGGTGAACCAGATTTCCAGCTGGGCCGAGGACTATCATCAAAGTGATGCAATCCAGGAAGATGGAAATGGCGAGGTGGACGTTGGTTCTGATGGGGAGGATTTCTCTGGACATTATTTTCCCACTGAGTCCGACACTCCAGCTCCATGCTTGGAACTGGGATGGCCGGAAAGGACCATCTGGATGGACATGGGACAGATTCACGTCTACACCAACCCTCCTGCAGAACAGGTGCCCTCTATTCGGGAAGTCCTCAGGAGACACCTACAAGGAGCCACTAAGGTAAAACCAGATCCTTGAAGCTAAAAAAAGAGGTTGAGCTTAAAGGTGGGGTAAGCGATTTCTGGTAGCCAATGTTGACATTGAAATCACCAAAAACAAACACGCCCCTACCCAAAAGGGTCTCGCCCCTATTTTGATAGCTCCGCCCCACACATACGTACGCAACCCAAACAAATCAAAACCAATGTTACACTGTGTATACACCGGACGCGGTGCGACAAAATACTATAGAACTCATTATAATCAGTGATGCTGTCTACACCATAGATATATATACATGTCTATGGTGTACACTGGATGCGGCGCGACACGACAAATCCCCGACAGAAAACTGCTGCTGCATTCTATTCATGATGTATTGACACAAATTTCAAAGGATTCTCCATGTCAGATACGAGTCACGACTAACCAATATTGAGTAGCCTACACATAATCGCGGATATGTTCTACATGTCTAAAGTATAAGCCTGTAGAAAGAATAAACCAGTCTCTCATTGATTTAGCTTAACACCTTTAAAATATAATCTGCATGCACGATAAAACCATACACTCTTAAAATCGATAGTACACAAAATATCTGTAAAAGTACTGATAACATATTAATGTGATGTTTTGGTTCATGTCTTACACAACTGTGCGTTGTTATTAAGTTTTAATATAAAAGATAATAGTCTGTTAACAATTTAGATTCTTTTATTATGAAATCACACAAAGAACCACAGAAGTACGTACTGTTTGTTAACACAGAATTAATTGAAGTAATACTATGTGCTCATTTAACTGCTTTATTTACAGTATGCTGAATATAAAAACTGTTAAAGAACATTAAAACATTTCAAACTTGTTAAACAACCACTTCAATACATTCCTCTTATGAAAACGCTTTATAAAACATATATCAAATACTATAAAACTCATATCTGTTAAGCGGTTCCGCAGACGTTTTCCTCTTTTGTTTTTTTATCCACCGTCTCTATCTTTCTGTCGCTCGGCTTGCTAATGTCCATCCTGTGCACTGAACTCTCTCTCCTCCACATCATGAGTAGACACGCCCCTTACTGCTGATTGGCTACAAGTTTGTTTTGCTAGTCGGCCCGAATCAGTTTTCTAAAGCGTTTTTGAAAAATCGCTTACCCCACCTTTAAGGGCCATTCACAACGATAACTATAACAATTAAAGATATAGTTTTCAAAATTGTTCTACATATAAAAGAATAGCAGATTCCACACCACAACTATAATGATAGCGGCACTGAGGAACGATATCCTTGGAATCACTTTCAAAACAAACAATATTTTTTTTCCAGCTGATAAACCTTGAAAACATTGACAGCCAATCAGAGTCTACCTCTGAGCTAGAGTTGGAGCATTTAACGTAGCAGGCGACAATAATAAACAATTCACATAGTTGGTATTGTAGTTATCTTCATGGTTATCATTTTTGGTGTGAATATGGGCCATTACACTGTAAATAATGATCATAATTTTAATGGTAAAAGACTGTA